GCTGCTCAGAGATAAGGATGGCATGTAACACTGGGATTCCCCTGTGCTTAGCAGCGCCACCCGTGAACTCAGCGACCTCACCTCTGGCACCTGACTCAGATAATGTACCAAAAAGTGATCCATATGGGCTTTTCCAGACTTTTCAGATTTTCACTGCAACAGAAAGCACTGCTTACTCATTTCTGCTGCTCAGGTGTTGCCTGGGCATGTTCCGCTCAAGTTTAGAGTTGCATTTTTGCTGCAAGAACATTTCACCTTTCCCAGCACTTGAAGTGCGATGTTTCGTACTGTGGGGGACGGACGGACGGACGGACACAAAGCTTTCCCCCTGAACTGAAGGACACTGACAAACTGGAACGTGTCCAGAGGAGGGCAACCAAAATGGTCAAAGGCCTGGAAATGATGCCTTATGAGGAACAGCTAAGGGAGCTGGGCATGTTTAGCCTGGAGAAGAGGAGGTTAAGGGGTGATATGATAGCCATGTTCAAATATATAAAAGGATGTCACATAGAGGAGGGAGAAAGGTTGTTTTCTGCTGCTCCAGAGAAGCGGACACGGAGCAATGGATCCAAACTACAAGAAAGAAGATTCCACCTAAACATTAGGAAGAACTTCCTGACAGTAAGAGCTGTTCGACAGTGGAATTTGCTGCCAAGGAGTGTGGTGGAGTCTCCTACTTTGGAGGTCTTTAAGCAGAGGCTTGACAACCATATGTCAGGAGTGCTCTGATGGTGTTTCCTGCTTGGCAGGGGGTTGGACTCGATGGCCCTTGTGGTCTCTTCCAACTCTATGATTCTATAACTGTTGCCAGTTGAACGATGTGGCAATGCGAAGACAACTAGGGGACATGCTACTAGATATCACTTGCGATGGGGAGGCCAGAGGGCCGTAGCTCAGTGGTAGAGCACCGGCTTCTCATGAAGAATGTCGTGGGTTCAATCCCCGGTGCCTCTAGATAGGGCTGGAAGGCACCCTGGCCTGAACTCCTGAATCCGCTGCCGCTCAGGCAGCACTGAGCTACTGGGGTCAGTGTTCTGGCTTGGTAGAATGTAGGCAGCTTCCTGTGCTTGATAAGTACATAACTTTTCAACAACTTAATTGGATTGACTCATCCCTCTCCTGCTTGGAGTGGGGATCTCTGCAGGCAGCTATGAATGCACTCCCTAAAGCAACTTTTACCTGGCTTCCTCCAGGCCTCATAAAATTTGTAATCAAGGTGTGGTTAAAAAGATTCCCCGCATTGCCGCTTGCAGGAAAACGAACGTGTCAATTAATTATTTGCTTATTATGTGCACAGTGGTACCTCAGGTTACAGACACTTCAGGTTACAGACTCCGCTAACTCAGAAATAGTACCTCAGGTTGAGAACTTTACCTCAGGATGAGAACAGAAATCACACGGCGACATCGGGAGGCCCCATTAGCTAAAGTGGTACCTCAGGTTAAGAACAGTTTCAGGTTAAGAACGGACCTCTGGAACGAATTCTTAACCCAAGGTACCACTGTATTGAGTGCCTCCCCCACCCTGTTTTGTCATCACGACATCCCTATGAGGGAGAGAGAGAGAGAGAGAGAGAGAGACCCAAGGCTGCTCAGTCAACTTTATAGCTGAGAGGGGATTTGAACCCCGCTTTCCCTGGGCATAGTCTGAGGCTGCGAACACAACACACTCCACCCCCACCCCAGGAACTGTAATTAGTTAAGGGTGCTGAGAATTGTAGCTCTGTGAGGAGTACAGTTCCCAGGATTTTTTTGGGAGGGGGGAGCCATGTACTTTAAATGTATGGTTTGTACACAGCCTGACATTCTCTCCATTACACTACAGGGGTACATGAGAAAGTACAGTCAGCCCGCATTTAATCCCGGCCTTGGGATTTTCAGCGTAATATCCAGTTTGCACAATGAAATATGCCTCTGGGGGACGTGTGGGTCCCATGAACACAGGCGTTTCTTTCTTCCTTTATCTGCCAATAGGAATTATGTTGGCCCGCCCCATTCTGTCCTTCTGTGGGGTTAATGGATGAAGGAATTGCCATGTATGCCAACCTTGAGCTTTTTGTTGTTGTTTTAGTCGTGTCCGACTCTTCGTGACCCCATGGACCAGAGCACGCCAGGCACCTCTGTCCTCCACTACCTCCCGCAGTTTGGTCAAACTCATGCTGGTAACCTCGAAAACACTATCCAACCATCTCATCCTCTGTCGCCCCCTTCTCCTTGTGCCCTCCATCTTTCCCAGCATCAGTGTCTTCTCCAGGGAGTCTTCTCTTCTCATGAGGTGGCCAAAGTACTGGAGCCTCAGCTTCACGATCTGTCCTTCCAGTGAGCACTCAGGGCTGATTTCCTTGAGAATGGATGCGTTTGATCTTCTTGCAGTCCATGGGACTCTCAAGTGTCTTCTCCAGCACCATAATTCAAAAGCATCAATTCTTCGGCGATCAGCCTTCTTTATGGTCCAGCTCTCACTTCCATACATCACTACTGGGAAAACCATGGCTTTAACTATACGGACCTTTGTTGGCAAGGTGACGTCTCTACTTCTCAAGATGCTGTCTAGGCCTGTCATTGCCCTTCTCCCAAGAAGCAGGCGTCTTTTAATTTCGTGGCTGCTGTCACCATCTGCAGTGATCATGGAGCCCAAGAAAGTAAAATCTCTCACTGCCTCCATTTCTTCCCCTTCTATTTGCCAGGAGGTGATGGGACCAGTGGCCATGATCTTCGTTTTTTTGATGTTGAGCTTCAGACCATATTTTGCGCTCTCCTCTTTCACCCTCATTAAAAGGTTCTTTAATTCCTCCTCACTTTCTGCCATCAAGGTTGTGTCATCTGCATAAAGGTAAGAAACAATGACAGCGTCCCCCACTCATTCTCAAAGAAATGCCATTTTAAAGACCATGTTTCATTGGTCTAAGTCACCCACCCAAAGCTGCTGTTATATATTTTACCTCTTACATCTTTCCCTAACTCTTCTGCCAATGAGCTCAGGGGGTGCCCTCAAGATGCTTTTGGACTGCAACTTCCATCAGCATCAGGAGGTGTGAAAGCGCCCTGGCCTTTACAGGCTACGTAGATGCCAGTAGCTTGAAAGACATCAAGGTCGTGTCTGTACTGCAGTACACACCAGAGAGGGGGATGTCTTCACCTGATGTAGGTAGGTAGCCGTGTTGGTCTGACGCAGTCAAAATATATTAAAAAAAAGTATCTGAAGTGTATCTGAAGAAGTGTGCATGCACACGAAAGCTTATACCAAAAACAAACTTAGTTGGTCTCTACAACTGATTGGTTCAAAATTGGGAAAGGAGTACGACAAGGCTGTATATTGTCTCCCTGCTTATTTAACTTATATGCAGAATTCATCATGCGAAAGGCTGGGCTGGATGAATCCCAAGCCGGAATTAAGATTGCTGGAAGAAATATCAACAACCTCAGATATGCAGACGACACAACCTCGATGGCAGAAAGCGAGGAGGAATTAAAGAACCTTTTAATGAGGGTGAAAGAGGAGAGCGCAAAATATGGTCTGAAGCTCAACATCAAAAAAACGAAGATCAAGGCCACTGGGCGCATCACCTCCTGGCAAATAGACGGGGAAGAAATGGAGGCAGTGAGAGATTTTACTTTCTTGGGCTCCATGATCACTGCAGATGGTGACAGCAGTCATGAAATTAAAAGACGCCTGCTCCTTGGGAGAAAAGCAATGACAAACCTAGACAGCAGCATCTTAAAAAGCAGAGACATCACCTTGCCAACAAAGGTCTGTATAGTTAAAGCTATGGTTTTCCCAGTAGTGATGTATGGAAGTGAGAGCTGGACCAAAAAGAAGGCTGATCGCCGAAGAATTGATGCTTTTGAATTCTGGTGCTGGAGGAGACTCTTGAGAGTCCCATGGACTGCAAGAAGATCAAACCTCTCCATTTTGAAGGAAATCAGCCCTGAGTGCTCACTGGAAGGACAGATCCTGAAGCTGAGGCTCCAATACTTTGGCCACCTCATGAGAAGAGAAGACTCCCTGGAAAAGACCCTGATGTTGGGAAAGATGGAGGGCACAAGGAGAAGGGGACGACAGAGGACGAGATGGTTGGACAGTGTTTTCGAAGCTACCAACATGAGTTTGACCAAACTGCGTGAGGCAGTGGAAGACAGGAGTGCCTGGCGTGCTCTGGTCCATGGGGTCACGGAGAGTCGGACATGACTAAACAACAACAGTCACTTACAGGCTCACTTTTAAAACTGTGTTTATGGAAGACAATCTTACTCAGCTACAAGGGATCGCCAAAGAAGAAGAAGAAGATCTTTCAGAATGGAAATTGTCATTACAGTGGTACCTCGGGTTAAGTACTTAATTTGTTCCGGAGGTCCGTTCTTAACCTGAAACTGTTCTTAACCTGAAGCACCACTTTAGCTAATGGTGCTTCCTGCTGCTGCTGCGCCGCCGGAGCACGATTTCTGTTCTCATCCTGAAGCAAAGTTCTTAACCTGAAGCACTATTTCTGGGTTAGTGGAGTGTGTAACCTGAAGCGTATGTAACCCGAGGTACCACTGTATTATTATTAAAAGGACATGTTGCAGTGTGTGAGTGTGCTTTAAATCTTTGTATGACTCTGTAAATCCTTCAAGCACCATATAACACTATCCCCTAAGCTCACGATGCAGAGGCAGGTTAAGCAAGAGAGGGGCGCCCGCCTGCATTTCTGGAAAGGCACCAGCTGCTCTCCTCACGGTTTTCCTTTCTTTTTCCAAAGCCCTGTCCCTTCCCGTAACAAATAATAATAATAACAACAGTATTCCGCTGCGCAATTTCTCCTCACGCCGGCCCAGTGTGCCTTTTCCCTCTCTCCCCAGCCCCTTGCGTTTTCGCAATCCCTTCCCGCGCTTTCCCTCCCCTCAGCCTCAACTCTCCTCAGAGGCATTTCCCGCGCCGAGCCCGCCGGGGCCCGGCTCTCCCGGTGGCGCGCGCGCGCGCGCACAGAACTGCGTCACCCCGTTGACCCGCAGCTGGCACGTTCGGGGAGAATCTCTGATGACTCAGCGGCGGGATTCCCTCGCGCGCCCTTCTCTGACTCACGCCCGTCCCGTCCCATAAAAGCCTCGCGCCGGCTGCTGCCTGCCAGACTCATTTTTCCCCCCTTCCTCTCCTGGTCGCTTTTCGTGTGGATCTTATTTTCTCTCTCTCGGGACTGAAGGTAGATCGAAGCTCACTTTGGCAAGGATGGGAAAGCAGCGGGGCTCCGCGATGCCCGTGGATCTGATGGGCAACGCCGGGTTGCTCTGCCAGGCGTGCGGGTTCCTTCTCTGCAACCCACAGCAAGCCGAGTGTGGGCACCGCTACTGCAGGGGATGCGTGAAGAGGCTGTTCAGGTCAGTGGCAAAAAAAAAGTGCTCCCGGGCTGTTTAAAGGCGATTCGCGATTCCCCCTCTCCATGATGTTGCTAGACTACAGGTCCCATCATCCGTGATCATTTGTCATGCTCATGGGAGTTGGAGTCCCCTAATCGTAGCTGGAGGGACGCGGGTGGCGCTATGGGTTAAACCACAGAGCCTAGGACTTTGCGATCAGAAGGTCGGCGGTTCGAATCCCTGCGACGGGGTGAGCTCCCGTTGCTCGGTCCCTGCTCCTGCCAACCTAGCAGTTCGAAAGCACGTCAAAGTGGCAAGTAGATAAATAGGTACCCCTCCGGCGGGAAGGTAAACGGCGTTTCCGTGCGCTGCTCTGGTTCGCCAGAAGTGGCTTAGTCATGCTGGCCACATGACCCGGAAGCTGTACGCCGGCTCCCTCGGCCAATAATTCGAGATGAGCACCGCAACCCCAGAGTCGGTCATGACTGGGCCTAATGGTCAGGGGTCCTTTTACCTTTACCTTTAATTGTAGCTGGAGGATTCTCAGATGTTAGGGTCACCTTTCCAGGATTTGCAGGGCTTAAAATAACAGAATCGTGGAGTTGGAAGGGACCCTGAGGGGCATCATCTAGTCCAGGCTTCCTCAACCTCGGCCCTCCAGATGTTTTGAGACTACAATTCCCATCATCCCTGACCACTGGTCCAGCTAGCTAGGCATCATGGGAGTTGTAGGCCAAAAACATCTGGAGGGCCGAGGTTGAGGAAGCCTGATCTAGTCCATCCTGTAGTACGGCAGGGATCTCTTCCGCAACGTGGGGCTCAAACCTTTGACCCTGAGATTAAGAGTCTCACGCTCTACTGACTGAGCTATAACTACATTCATTGGCATTTAATGGGCAAGCCAGATCCTTCATCTTAAAGGGTTAGCTGGATAAATCGATCTCCTATCTTCCTGTCTACCTTCTGGTTATGATGGGCATATAGAAACTGCCCCAATACCAGCTGTGGGGGAGCACCAGTGGGAGGGGGCTGCTGCCTTCCTGCCCCTTTTTGTGTGGGTCTCTGAAGCATCTGATTGGCCGCTCTGGGAAATCGAAGGCAATGGACCCTTGGCCTGACCCTGGCTTGTGTTTTGTATTTCCTGGGAACGAAGCATCCACTTTTATTGGACTTAGTGTTTTTAGGCTGCAACCCGTTAATTGGTCGGGGGCCAGTTTCAATGGGCAACAACAGATTTGTGATGCGTTCTAGAAACATAATTTAAAAAGAAGACCCACTTTGTTTCTTTTAATAGGACCAGGGTGTGTGAGAGTCAGGTTTCTCTCCAGTTTGCAATATTTCAGTTTGCTTTTCTCAGGGAGTGGGGATAGATGCCAAGCCATATTGGCACAGCTGTGTTTATTCCTCGAGCACCTCAAATGTTGTTGTTGTTGTTGTCATATTCTGATTCAGCTGTGCTTGTGCGTAAGCAAGATGTTGACGCGTGGTAGTCTAGGGGGCCTGTGGCTCTTGAATTATGCTGGTGGCAGGTGATGGCTTGCAGCTTTTGTAAATCTGAGCTGCGCTAAAGCGTCTTGGGGAGCTGATTCCACTCTTCATTATCCACGAGAGCTTCTGAACCCTCTGTCCTTATGCACTCCACTTCATCTCCTGGAAAACTGTTCCCCAAAGGCGCCGGATATGCTTAAGACGGCCCTGAGCACCCTTGGTGATCTTGAGCGACTCAGTTCAGCCTTAACTATCTCACATAATTATTGCGGGAATAAAAGAGGGGCCCAGATAGGGAACCACGACGCACACTGCCCTGAGCTTCGTGGACAAGTGCAGTATATAATTGTGACAAATGAGTATAATGCACGGTATCCACAATACTAATGACTTAACCAATGGATGGCATTAATCTCGATGATGAACGACTGCTTCACATATGTGGGGAGGAAGAATAAGTTAGCAGAGGACACAAGGAAGAGAAGATGGAAGTAGTTATGTTTCAAATGCATCAAATACGTGTTTCTTTTATTTTCAGTTGGGGTTTTTTCATGCAGATGTGTTTTATTAATTATTATTAATTATTGAATTTATATACCGCCCTATACCCTATTCCCTGGCAGGGTGGGTGGGGTGTATATTTAATGAATAGAATTTGGAGGGTGTATTTGAAAGAGAGAGGGAGAAAGAGATTCAAAATGTAGTTTTCAGAGGGGGAAGCCCATGTTAGTAGTGCCTTGCAGGAAAAGAGGCTTGTGGTGCCTTTAAAGAATAGAAAATTTATTACGACATAAGCTTATTGTGGGTTACGCCCCCTTTCTGTTTCTCAGGGTTCATCCTGCTCACTTTTCTGTCCTCTTTCTCCCCACAGGGACACAGACAGGGTGGCCTGCCGGACTTGTAAGAAGGGACTGAGCCCCAAACAGGTGAGTTGTAGTAACATGATGTTCTGGAACAAGAGCCGTTTGGGTTTTCCTGGGCTTTTGGTTCTTAAAGCGATATGTTGTTGTTGTTGCCATCTTGGCAAATCCCAGTCAATCACTTTTGGACTCTCTTTTGAGGAAAGCAACGAACAAATTTAACAAGAAGAAAATTATAATACGACCAGTCAGTCTCAGCCCCAAATAGCAAGAAACCCATAAATGAATGGTCACTAAATTCCCTCTCACTAAATTCACTAAATTCCCTCTAAGAGCCAAGGCATGGTTCAGGTACGGATGTTACCTGGCGCTGCCCTGTGATTACCCTCATCCCCTAGCATGGGTCACACCTGTGTTGCCACCCTCTTTTAAAAACAGGAACAAAAGAGAAAACACAAGATATAGAAAGGGAGAAAATGAGAGAGAGTGTGTGATGAAATTCAGAAGAGCTCCGTAAGTAGAAAAGCTGAGAGGGTTTATTTAAAGAATCTGTTGCACTCCCTTCACTGCTGCTTGACAACCTACTCCTTTCAGCATTTTCTCATTTTCTGTATGACTATGAAGGCCAGAAATCTCGCCCTCCTGTCTACTAGGAACATGGTACAAGAGAGACATAGACAGCAAATGAGGAACGGCTAAGGGAGCTGGGCATGTTTAGCCTGGAGAAGAGGAGGTTAAGGGGTGATATGATAGCCATGTTCAAATATATAAAAGGATGTCATATAGAGGAGGGAGAAAGGTTGTTTTCTGCTGCTCCAGAGAAGCGGACACGGAGCAATGGATCCAAACTACAAGAAAGAAGATTCCACCTAAACATTAGGAAGAACTTCCTGACAGTAAGAGCTGTCTCCTACTTTGGAGGTCTTTAAGCAGAGGGTTGACAACCATATGTCAGGAGTGCTCTGATGGTGTTTCCTGCTTGGCAGGGGGTTGGACTCGATGGCCCTTGTGGTCTATTCCAACTCTATCATTCTATGATTCTATTCTATGAAACAGAAAAACAGAAAAATACAACTGCCGCCCTAGAGAGGGAAGTGGGAATCAGTATTTGCGGTGCCTGCTTTTCAGCACTGACCATGCACTTTGCCATAATTTGAGGGCGATGCGTTTAAGGCAGACTTTACCAACCTGGTGTCCACCTGTTCTTCAGGGGCTGATGGGAGTTGTAGCTTGAAACATCCGTCTGGCACCTGGTCAGCAAAGGATGGTTAGAGGTAATGTGTACAGTGGTACCTCTGGATGTGAACAGGATCCATTCCGGAGCCTCGTTCACATCTTGAAGCGAATGCAACCCGCGTCTGCGCGGGCTGCGAGTCAGCGCTTCTGCGCATGCATGTGACGTTGTTTTGAGCGTCTGCGCATGTGCGGGCGGCGAAACCGTTACTTCCGGGTCGCTGCGGAGCGTAACCTGAAAACACTCAACCTGAAGCATATTTAACCCGAGGTGTGACTGTAGTGAGTAATGACGTGGGTGGCGCTGTGGGTTAAACCACAGAGCCTAGGCCTTGCCGATCAGAAGGTTGGCGGTTCGAATCCCCGCAACAGAGTGAGCTCCCGTTGCTCGGTCCCTGCTCCTGCCCACCTAGCAGTTCGAAAGCACGTCAAAGTGCAAGTAGATCAATAGGTACCACTCTGGCAGGAAGGTAAATGGCGTTTCCGTGCGCTGCTCTGGTTCGCCAGAAGTGGCTTAGTCATGCTGGCCACATGACCCAGAAGCTGTACACCGGCTCACCCCGGGCAGTAAAGCGAGATGTGCGCTGCAACCCCAGAGTCGTCTGCGACTGAACCTAATGGCCAGGGGTTCCTTTACCTTTTTTATGACTGTAGTGTATTGGTAGAGGTAACTGTGACAGGTCAGAATCGGTGGCCAACATATTGACTCCTTCTTTTCTCTCTTTCTCTCTCCAGTTCCACGCTGACAAAGCGGCAGAGAACGACGCTCTAGCCACACAAGTTGCCTGCCCGAATTTTGACTGCGCTTGGACGGGGACCCTGAAATCGTACCAGGTACAGTGGTTTTAAATGAAGAGAATCGCGCCCCTCTCCCTGACAATACGCAGTGCACAAGACCAGGGATGAAACGGGAGCACAAAGCTCTTAGGGCGCCCTCTTGTGGCAATTGCAGGCATTTGACAAAACACATGCAAAACAGTTGGAAGAAACTGTGACTGGAGGAAAAATAGAAAGAAGCCCATAGTTGAGCTGTGCTAATATTATTGATCTGACTCTTCCCTCTGCGATCCTGTTCAGGGTTCTAGCCAGCCAGTTGCTCCAGTGTTCCATTTTTTTCTTTTGCAACTTGCTGTACTATTATGTTGTGAACGGACCTGAGAGCTGCAGATTAAGGGCAGTATACAGATTTAATAAAAACAAGGAAACAAATAATTCTGTAGCAACTGAGCACATTCAGTACTTCCATATTTATTTATTTTGTAAAACCTCAGGGTTCTCCCACAGAATGGGGCCATTCTGAGTCCATTTCTGTCGGCAGCACTCGCCACCTAAGTTTGCTTTTAGAGGGAGGTGATAAGAATAATTTTGATTGGTTTTCGTAATTGAAAATTAATTTTAAAAAAATTATTTATTTTTAAAAAAGAATAATGATGAAAATGAAAAAAACAAACCAATAATTTGTAGAATCGTTACTGCATTTGTTTTGAGGTTCACTTATAGCATGGCTCATGATGTTTAGATATTTTGATAGTTTTATCACTTGTGCGTTTGACATTCCTGGACTCCTTTGGGAAAAAGCATGGGATATAATTTATTTATTAATAATAATAATAATTATTATTATTATTATTATTATTTCATAGCCCCATTCAGAGGACAGTCCAAACCAAATTAATGTTAAAAAAAATATTTATTTTTTAAAAAGAATAATTATGATCAGTTCAATTGGCACGCCAGTAAAACAATAGGCTGCAAACTGAAGAAATGAAAAACAACAACAATAATTTGTATCCGTAAGACAATGATAATAAAGCAGAGTTAGGAATTTCTAAAAGGCATGTCTTACCACCCTCATCAAAATGCTGTTCCCAACAACCGAAATCGATACAAAGCCAGGATGTTTTGTAGCGTATAGATATGCCTTTTGAAGGCTTCAGAACATGAGGTAATCTAGGATCCTGCAGTCGGCAGCAAACAACCTTTGCTCATTTTCCTGGCCTTGTTCTTTTGCTTTAGGAGCACGCTTGCCCCCCTGTGGCCCAGCCCGGAACCCCAAAGAAGGCTCCCCTGGCCCTTGGAGATCAAAACGTTGAAGAGATAGAACCCTGCTGGAGTGTCAATAGCACAGTCATGGTAAGTCACCTCAAGAGAACCTGCATTGTGAGGGTATATAAACCAAGCTCAGGGCCCGTTATGAGCCTGCGCCCAGAAATGGAGCAATATGCCCTGGTGGGAACCCCTGTAAACCCTCTCCTCTCTCTCTCTCTCTCTCCCTAGGGTGGCCCTTCCATGAACGTGGAAGCCGTCCAGATGCGGGTGGAGGCCTTGGAGCTGACGGTGGTGTCTCTGCGCCGGCAGCTGAACAGCCAGGCGGCTGCGGTGAAGTCCCTCCAGCGCTGCTGCTCCCACTACGAGAAGCTCTTGAGGGCCTCTCAGGAAATGTGCGCCGTGCCGAAAGCGTCTGGAGAACCAGCGTCGCCGGAGCTGGCCAGCACCGACGGGACCTTGGTGTGGAAGGTGGAGAACTTCTCCAAACTCCAGAAGGATGCCAAAGCTGGGAAGAAGCGTTCCATTTACTCCCCGGCCTTTGCCACTCATCCGTTCGGGTACCATCTCTGCGTCCGGCTCTACCCCGACGGAGATGGCATTGGCCAGGGGGGCCACGTCTCGCTTTTCCTCGCCTTGGCCAAGGGGCCCTACGACGACGTCCTGCCCTGGCCTTTCTGGCAGAAGGTCACCTTCTCCCTCTTTGGACCCCACGCGGAGGAAGTCCCCCGTGATGGATACCTTCCTCCCGGATCCCCACAGCGTCTCCTTCCACCAGCCGCGCCAGAGGCTCAACGTGGCCAGCGGGAGTCCCCTCTTCGTCAGCCATCTTAAGATTCCTGCTTACCTCAAAGACGACACGCTCTACCTCAAAGTAGTGGTGGATAATGCAGGGATGGAAATCTGAGGGACGGGAGACACTGGGGCAAGAGAACAGGGTTATTCTCTGTTCTCTCAGTCACGCTTTTGTGGTTTTTCCCTTCTCCCAAAGGCCTTTTAACTATTTTTGAAGATCTTCACCTCTTGTCATCAAATCCCTCCCCCTTTCTCCACACCACCAATTGTGTCCGCTACAATTCCCATTCTGAAATGGGCCGTGAACTACCTCTCTAGGAAACCTAAATCTTCACATAATAGTGCTGTTGATCGTGCAATATCCATCCCTCATCCAAACTCAGGTGGAATTTTTTAGGCTTTGTTCTTTCCCCCCTACTTCTTAAGAGTTGCTGATAAATGTATGGAAAATGGTGGAGTGTCTGGATTGGCCTTTCAGAGGTCTTGAGTGTGGTACACTGTAACGCAAACACTGACCACTGGGTACCATCGATTGCGTAATTTATTCAAGTTGCAGAATTGGAGTTTTCATACTTGGCTGCTTCGAAACTTTTAAAAATGCAATTCACTGGAAAAGACGCAGAAGGCCTGAAGATTTTCTTTCGATGCCTCATCTCAATGCCATCCCACTCTGCAGTTTGCGAGTGATTGGGGAGCTGCAAATTTAGAATTTGTTACCGCTGTGGAGTTTGCTGTGTATGTTTGTGTTTTCCTGCTGCAGCTCAGCAGGCTACAGTTGAAAGTGATGTTTTGAAATATTATATATTTGTATTTATTGTTAATCAGTTCTACTGCACTTTTTAAAGACAAGGGGAATTTGCAATAATAATTGAGGATTGTTTCCTCGAACATGACAGGTTTTTTTCTACCTCGCTTACTTATTTATTGATGAGAATGTTGGTATTTATTATGGAAATTGAAATATTACAACATTATTTATTCAACGGATGGCTGCTTATGCTGGTTTGTTGAGAGGGTGGGGGAAAATATGCCTAGGGAAGTAATAAGAGTAAATAATAATTTTCCCAACCTTCACTTATGGTCACAGGGTGGGACACAACAACATTAAAAACAGTTTTAAAACAACTTACAAACCCAGAAATTGTAGGGATTAACTACAACGTGAACCATATACTCGGTGGAGAAAAAGGTGGATGTACATTCAATAGGAAAGCTCTTTAAGGGACGCGAGTGGTGCTGTGGGTTAAACCACAGAGCCTAGGACTTGCCGATCAGAAGGTCGGCGGTTCGAATCCCCGCGACGGGGTGAGCTCCCGTTGCTCGGTCCCTGCTCCTGCCAACCTAGCAGTTCGAAAGCACGTCAAAGTGCAAGTAGATAAATAGGTACCGCTCTGGCGGGAAGGTAAACGACGTTTCAGTGAGCTGCTCTGGTTCACCAGAAGTGGCTTAGTCATGCTGGCCACATGACCCGGAAGCTGTACGCTGGCTCCCTCAGCCAATAAAGCAAGATGAGCACCGCAACCCCAGAGTCGGTCACGACTGGACCTAATGGTCAGGGGTCCCTTTACCTTTATAAATATATATATTTCAAGTGTCAAAAGCCAGGTTAAAGAGGTACGTCCTCAGCATTTCCCCAAAGCTGTATTGAATAATGAAGATACCAGATGCACCTCTGTCTGCATACCAGGGCAGTGAGGCAAACTCTGAGGAGACAGCAGTGCTCTCTGAAACCCATTAATCAGGGGTCAGCAAACTCTTTCAGCAGGGGGCCAGTCCACTGTCCCTCAGACCTTGTGGGGGGGCCCAGACTATATTTTGAAGGGAAAAAATGAACAAATTCCTATGCCCCACAAATAAGCCAGAGATGCATTTTAAATAAAAGGACAAACAACACCAACAACATAATAATAAATAAATAATAAAATAATAAAAAATTTTATTTATACCCTGCCCTCCACAGCCAAGACCGGGCTCAGGGCGGCTAACACCAGGTATAAAAACAATTGATTAAAATGCAACTTAAAAACAAGATTAAAATACAAGATTAAAATGCAGCCTCATTTCAGTAGAAACTCAAATCAAAAACTTTTGGGGGATGAAAATGTCAAATCTTCACCAAGGCCAACTATCCAGACTGGTCCTACATGGGCCAGAAAAAAGCCAGTAAAGTCCCCAAATAGGAGTTCCATCACAGAAGGAGAAAAGGAAAAAGGAAAGAGGGGAAGGGAATCAAGTTGATTCCAAGCCAAAGGCCAGGTGGAACAACTCTGTCTTACAGGCCCTGTGGAAAGAAATCAGATCCTGCAGGGCCCTGGTATCATGAGACAGAGCGTTCCACCAGGCCGGAGCCAGTGCTGAGAAGGCCCTGGCTCTGGTTGAGGCTAATCTAACTTCCTTAGGGCCCAGGACCACTAGGGTGTTGCTATTTATGGACCTTGAGGCTCTCCGTGGGGCATGCCTGGAGAGGCGGTCCCGTAGGTACGAGAATCCTAGGCTCATCATGTAACAACACGCTGATTCCCAGACTGTCTGCGGGCTGGATTGAGAAGGCGATTGGGCTGGATCCAGCCCCCGGGCCTTAGGTTGCCTACCCATGCCATCAATCTTCCACCTGCAACTTTGGCAACTCCACAATGTCCTGGACCAGAGAGCCCCCTAGAGGCCACCGCTTGTTTCCATGGCCAGACAATGTTGGTGTTGTTGGCATCCGTCTGCCTCGAGAGACAATGGAGTGCACCTCCAGGGGAGAAGTCAAACCGCTGTGTTGCAAGGACCGAAGTGGCGTCCCTGGGGCGCAAGTCTGGGCAGTGTGTTAGGAGGTCCTGGGCTACCCAGACGATGACCCCCTTCTCGGCCTCACTGTCATGCACTGGCTGGATGCAGAGGAGTGGAGGGGGGAGGCACTGTCAGGAGTTCGGCCTACACTCGAGTAGGACCCTGGTAGAGACATATGCCCGACTGGCATGTTCTCTCCCTCCTGGTCGATCGTTCAGGAGCTTCAAAAGCTTTCTTCTGCCTGAACATCACAGCGAACGATGCCAAGCGACCAGCACACTTAGGGATCCACAGAGTTTGTGCATGGCTTGCATGACAGACCTGAGCAACTCAGCATTTTGGCTAATCTACTTTATTTACATATAAACACACATGCGAAACCCAGCCAGATGTGCGGGGTATAAATAAATTATTATTATTATTATTATTATTATTATTATTATTATTATTATTATAGATGGCTCAGAGTTGTTGAGCTTTGTGGGGGGAATTGTTGAGTTTTTTTTTAGGAGGGGGGATTGCCAAAAATCGCTCACCAACACACAGTGAAAAATCCACCTCTCGGCCAATCACCCGCCCCATTGCAGCAGCAGCAGCAAATCAACTCCAAACCTTGACGCAGCAACCAATAACACGCCCTATAGCCCACTGACAGCTGCAGCAGCAACCAATCAAATGTCCATCCTATGCATAAGATGACCCCAACTTTTAATCATTATTTTTAAAGGAAAAACCCTAGTCTTATACATGGAAAAAGTACGGTATTTTAGGAGGGGCAGGCTTTATGTTGGGGGGCAGAAGAAAGTGATATGTGATGGACATGGTCAGTTTGTTAAGCGTTTTTATTTATCTACGCGATCTAGCAGTGTGGTTGTGCCCCTGCACCACCCTGGCTCCACCCATGGCCTGACCATTGACTAAATATATATATATATTGGGCCAGATTCAACTGAGTTGTTTTGCTAGTGGAAGCCCAATACTATGAGTTCCATTAGTGCAATGGGACTTCTCCCCTTCCCATGTGTAGTCAGAAGTTGTTGTTTAGTCGTTTAGTCGTGTCCGTCTTTTCATGACCCCATGGACCAGAGCACGCCAGGCACCTCTGTCCTCCACTACTTCCCGCAGTTTGGTCAAACTCATGCTGGTAGCTTCGAGAACACTGTCCAACCATCTCGTCCTCTGTCCTCCCCTTCTCCTTGTGCCCTCCATCTTTCCCAACATCAGGGTCTTTTCCAGGGAGTCTTCTCTTCTCATGAGGTGGCCAAAGTATTGGAGCCTCAGCTTCACGATCTGTCCTTCCAGTGAGCACTCAGGGCTGATTTCCTTAAGAATGGATAGGTTTGATCTTCTTGCAGTCCATGGGACTCTCAAGAGTCTCCTCCAGCACCAGAATTCAAAAGCATCAATTCTTTGGCGATCAGCCTTCTTTATGGTCCAGCTCTCACTTCCATACATCACTACTGGGAAAACCATAGCTTTAACTATACAGACCTTTGTTGGCAAGGTGATGTCTCTGCTTTTTATGATGCTGTCTAGGTTTATCATTGCTTTTATCCCAAGAAGCAGGCGTCTTTTAATTTCGTGGCTGCTGTCACCATCTGCAGTGATCATGGAGCCCAAGAAAGTAAAATCTCTCACTGCCTCCATTTCTTCCCCTTCTATTTGCCAGGAGGTGATGGGCCCAGTGGCCATGATCTTCTTTTTTTGATGTTGAGCTTCAGACCATATTTTGCACTCTCCTCTTTCACCCTCAATAAAAGGTTCTTTAATTCCTCCTCACTTTCTGCCATCAAGGTTGTGTCATCTGCATATCTGAGGTTGTTTATATTTCTTCCGGCAATCTTAATTCCGGCTTGGGATTCATCCAGCCCAGCCTTTCGCATGATGAATTTCTGCATATAAGTTAAATAAGCAGGGAGACAATATACAGCCTTGTCATACTATTAAGTTCAATATGGCTTACGTCTAGGTTAACTGTGCACAAATAAACTGGGTTTTGCTCTTTGGTGTGTGCGTAACACACCAACACACCTACCTGTACTTTTGGACTCTCCTTGGGGACATGGCAGTGGGAACTGTCAAAATGAGCTTCTGCACTTCAAAATGTGCCACTGAACAGAAAACAACATAGTCTGCGAAACACAAAACTTTTAATCAATGCTGGAAATGATGTTTGCTAAGGAGAATTTACTTGGGAGGATCCAGCAGGTAGGACATTGGTGGGTAATAATAATAATAATAATAATAATAATAATAATAATAATAATATTTATACCCCTCCCATCTGGCTGGGTTTCCCCAGCCACTCTGGGCAGCTTCCAACAGAATATTAAAATACAATAACCTATTAAACATTGAAAGCTTCCCTAAACAGGGCTGCCTTCAGATGTCTCTAAAAGTCTGGTAGATGTTTTTCTTTTTGACATCTGATGGGAGGGCGTTCCACAGGGCAGGTGCCAGAGAAGGCGCTCTGCCTGGTTCCCTGTATCTTGGCTTCTCTCCGTGAGGGAACTGCCAGAAGGCCCTCAGCACTGGACCTCAGTGTCCGGGCTGAACAATGGGAGTGGAGACGCTCCTTCAGGTATACTGGGCCGAGGCCGTTTAGGGCTTTAAAGGTCAGCACCAACACTTTGAATTGTGCTCGGACTGGGAGCCAATGCAGATCCCTCAGGATCGGTGTTATGTGGTTTTGGCGGCTGCACCCAGTCACCAGTCTAGCTGCCGCATTCTGGATTAATTGCAGTTTCCGGGTCACCTTCAAAGGTAGCCCCACATAGAGTGCATTGCAGTAGTCCAAGTGAGAGATAACTAGAGCATGCACCACTCTGGCAAGACAGTATTAATATGGTAATATATTGCCATATTAACATACCCTCCAACGTTTCTCCGCTGAAAATAGGGACACCCCGTTCCATAATGATAATTTTACAATGTATACCCCACACATCTTACTAGGTTGCCCCAGCCGCTCTGGGTGCTTCTAACATATATAAAAACATAATAAAACATTAAACATTAAAAAAAGTTCCCTATACAGGTTTCCCGTCAGACAGCTCAGGGGTCACATAACTCCATACCCTCCTACATTTCTCCAGTGAAACTAGGGATGTCCTATGGAAATGCAGGATATTCTGGGATCAAATAAAAAACTGGGACGGTTTCTCTAAATCAGGGACGTCCCTGGAAAATAGGGACACTTGGAGGGTCTGTATTAAGTAATGTGTTGAATCTTC